CTCGGCCAACGAGGTATGCAAACATTAAATAAACTTCTACTTTTACACTTCAAATATAACAAAAATGTTGATCGGAATAAATAAAATATTTAAAGAATATCAGTTTATTGACATTGGCAATAACAACGCTAATCTTTACGTCTGGTTTTTCCTTATCTGATAACTAGTTACAGATTATATTGGATTGGTGTTTATTATATAACGCGGACACGAGGTTACAGTAAACAAAAGTATAGGTAGATTGGACTGAGTTCATGACCATTGTCTAAATTAGCATATTTAACTATGATCAAAAACTATTTGTTTGATAAATGTAATCTTCTATGAAATGACCGAGATTGGTTGAATTTAAACTCGTACGTAAACAGTCCATTTTCCGATGTTTCCAACGCCAGTTTTATCATCTTTTCTCTAGCCTTTTTATTCGCTAATGTATCCTACGCTGTTTATCCTAGGTATGGTCGGATATAATGAACTGAGGGTCAGGAGGGAACTCACACTCGTAACCTATATCTTATCGGTAGTCATACATAATGCGGATAATTTGGCCAGGGTAGGGTTGTGTGTGCCGGACGGGTATGCGACGCGTCGGCGACGGCCGCGCCTACTGGCGGTGCCGCGAGCGGGCACTAAGTTACTGAGCGAGGCGCCTCTGACCTCAACCTCATAGCTGAAGACGTTTATATGTTTTATTGCACTCTGAGTGAATTCACTAAAGTAGCACTTCTTAGCATTTGTTACAGTTAGCTTAGTAGGTTAGTTAAAAATCTAGTTTGTAATTTAGATACAAGAAACCTCAATATCGATTTAGACTAGTCTGTAAGGATATTGCTGGGAATAAAATAAATAAAAAAAATATATATCAGAGGAATAACTTTCAATGTTTAACAATTCTTTCATCTTAAAAACAACTAAAAACTGTCAGCTCTCAATTTCATTCTACGAACAGTTAACAGTTAATTGAAAAATCGACTCATAGGGCTGATTTTTAAACCAATAACTGAGTTAGAGTAATCTCACCAATTTTGACACAAACAAAAATGTATATAGCATGTGACGTCATTGTGTTATACATAATCGGCATCATTATGGAATACTCATACTTAAAAAAAGCCCTTTGAACGAGTGACGTAGATAACAATGAGAGACTATATAATTTAGATTATAGTAGTACTAGCTTTTACCCGTGGCTTCGCTCGCGTCACAAAAGGTTAAAAAGTAGCCTATGTGACATATACCAATACACACAGCGCCATCTATACCAATACTTTTGTTTTTCCTCGAGAATATTAAATTTTTCCGGGAGAAAATGTACCCTATTATTTAATCCAGACTTATAACTTTACGTGTGCAAAAATTCAAAGCAATCGGTTTAGTAGTTACGGCGTGAAAGCGGAACAAACAAACAAACAAATTCACTTTCCAATTTGTAGTATTAGTAAGAATATTCTATTTCATTCTATTCTATTCTATGTAAAAACAAATCCAATAAGTCATCCATCACAATCTTAGGAATTTACATTTATCATATTTCTCTACTGTACTCTGATATACTAATCCTAACTTCCTATTCATACGAGATTAGAGTTTCCTACACTTTAATATAACGCTACGCACTGATTAGACGTAATTGCTGCTGCATACAATGTTACTAATCATCTGCTTCGTAATTATAGTTCATAGGTTGCAGCACAGCCATACACACATATGTACATAAGTGGAAGTCAAAGCAATTATTTTAATAGGATCGATAATGTACTAAAGGTCAAGGAACTGACTAACCATCAAGCAAGATAGTGGCCAAACGTCAACCTATCATGTATTAAAAAAAAAATTCTTCGCTCCTTTTATTATGAGTAAAAAGGATAAGTATTTTATTTGGAATAGGAGACAAACTACTAGATGGGTCGCCTAATGGTAAGCGATTAGCGCTGCTCATGGACACCCGCAACACCAGAGGAGGTACAAGTGTGTTGTCGTCTTTTTTTATTAGTTCTTTTATAAACCACATTTATAAAAACCGACTTCAACCCCTATTTTTTAGGTCAGTTTATTAATACACATAAACCTTCTCTTGAGTGTAAAAAACACTTTTCTAAATACTGCATCAATATGGTTCAGTCAATGGTGAGATATTCGCGCACAAACATAAACAAGTGGTTAAACTGAGAACCTCTTTATTCTGAGTTCTTCTTGTTGAAAAAGAATACGCTCTTTTCTTGAAGGTTTGAAGGTCGTACCGGTTCTTACTGACTTGTAGTCTTATGAAAAGACATTACAAATTACGTAAATTTGTTGTATTATAATTTTCATGAAACATTTTAGAAAAAATAATTATTTATTTTGTACAGCGTGCGATAAACTCTTCAACGAGATCACTCGATTAATTTCAAACCACTCTAGGGTCCCAAAGTTATTACAAATAAACATTTAAAATATACACGTAATTTCATAATAATACACATAGATGAGTCATATCAAACTTCCTATTCCCTAAAAGCGTAGACAGAGGTGCATCTTTAACCTAACATTGTGATGCGTAAGTAAAGTAAATACTCATAAATTACTTTAACTAATAAAATAAATAAGGATGCTACTTAACCTAATCTATAATTATGATCTAACAAAGGAACAATCTGCTAAAATTACGCTTAAATGGTGCCCAAAACGGTATCATGTTACAATGGAGATAATCTTCCCTCTTGACGCTTTAGTTATCCATTAATTTGAATGCGTCATAAAGACGATATCGCAGATTAGCATAGAACACATTATCCACTATCAACATATATAAGTACACAATAATAGACCGTAATTTCAGTAACATAGTGTCAACTAAAATAAGCAAAGTTTAATAGGACTCTTATAAAATTCAACAGGTTGGAAGTATTTAAAAACTATGCAACTAAAATGAGTGCAAACTTTGTTTAAATAGTTTCATAAACCATCTACAGATTGTTAAAAATTACAGACAATATATAGCTAGCTTCGTGGTTAGTAAAAATCTATGACGAGACTATGAAATATGCCGTTAAAATTGTTCATTTGATTTAATGTCTCAATTAAGTGCTATTAATCGATCATGTAATTATGTAGGCAACTAGTGGTCGCGCCTATTCATATAGGTGTTACCAATAAACTAAAATATGGAAAATTAAAGTTGGACTATAAATAAATAGTGGAATACTCACATGCAGACATTTTTGAGCTCCTCATTTTCACTTCAAAATTTTGGCAACGTCTTTTCACCAAGTACCTTGATCTATGATTTGAACGATCGGTAGTATTGTCACGAGATCATCTATCAATGTTATCGAAGGATTTAACTCGACACTATCTGAAAGATAACTGTTCCTTCCTTTTCTGTTTCGATACGTATTAGGGCTTGAGGTGTGGTTCCAGTGTGTACTAATGTTATACTTAATTAGGTTCAAAA